TTTGTTTTTTTTTTTTTTTTTTTTTTTTTTTTGAGATGGAGTCTCACTCTGTTGCCAAGGCTGGAGTGCAGTGGCGTGATCTCAGTTGACTTTAACCTCCGCCTCCCAGATTCAAGCAATTCTCCCTGCCTCAGCCTTCCGAGTAGCTAGGATTATAGGCACCCACCACCACACCCGGTTAATTTTTGTATTTTTTAGCAGAAATCGGGTTTTGCCATGTTGGCCAGACTGGTCTTGAACCCCTGACCTAAGGTGATCCACCCGCCTCAGCCTACTGAAGTGCTGGGATTTCAGGCGTGAGCCACTGCATATGGCCTTAGGTTTTTTTTTTTTAGAGATGGACTCTCACTCCGTAGCGCAGGCTGGAGTGCGTGGCACAATCTTGGCTCACTACAACCTCTGCCTCCCAGGTCCCGGTTCAAGCAATTCTCCTACCTCAGCCTCCCAAGTAACTGGGATTACACCACCATGCTCAGCTAAGATTTTTTTTTTAAGCATTGCAAATACAAAGTCTTTCCATAGCAGATAATTCAGTGCCTGGAATATAATGCTTCTTAATGAATATTTAGCAATTGAATGAATGATTGAATAAATGCTGGGACAAACAAAGTCCTGGGGCTGTGTGCATTGAGAGATAGTGTGATTTCAGCTAAGATGATCAATTGCTGTTAGGTGGGACCAGAAGGACTATGGAAAAGGAATATGTGCTAAAGAGGGGGACAGCAGGCTGAATAATGGTCCCCCAAATATGCCCACACCTGAATCTCTTGGGAATATATTATTTTACATGGCAAAATGAGCTTTGTAAATATAATTAACATAAAGATTATTATTATTATTATCATTTAGTTAGCAGCTCACTCTGTTGCCCAAGCTGGAGTGTAGTAATGTGATCACACCTCACTGCGGCCTCAAACTCCCAGGTTCAAATGATCCTCCTGCCTCGGTCTCCAGAATAGCAAGGACTACAGGTGTGCACCACCAGGCCCAGGTAATTCAAATAATTTTTTATTTTGTAGAGATGGAGGTTGTATTAGTCCATTCTTGTATCGCTATAGAGAACTACCTGAGACTGGGTCATTTATAAACAAAAGAGGTCTAATTGACTCACAGTTCCACAGGCTGTACAGGAGGCATGGCTGGCAGGCCTTGGGAAATTTACAAACATGGCAGAAGTTTAAAGGGAAGCAGGCAGGTCTTACACAGCCAGAAGAAGGCGAAAGGGAAGCAGCCACCTCTTACATGGCCGGAGCAGGAGGAAGGGAGAGAAGGGGGAGGTGCTACACACTTTTAGACCAACCAGATCTCATGAGAACTCACTCACTATCACAAGAACAGCAAGGGGGAACTCTGTCCCCATGTTTCAATCACCTCTCAGCAGGTCTCTCCTCCAAAACTGGGAATTACAATTCGGCGTGAGATTTGGGCAGGGACACAAATCCAAACCATAGCAGGGGTCTCACTATTTTGCCCAGACTGGTCTTGAACTCCTGGCCTGACAAGCGATCCTCCAGCCTCAGCTTCCCAAAGTGCTTTGGTGACAGGTATGAGCCACCACACCCAGCCAACATATGGATTGTGAGATGTGGAGCAAGGCCTGGATCATCCAGGTGCACCTAATGTAATCGCAGGGGTCCCTCTAAGAGGGAGGCCAAGAATTCAAGAGAGCCCTGGAGACATAGCAAGACCGAATCTCTACAAGGTCAGAAAAGGCTATGTGGCTGGGTGCAATGGCTGACACCTGTAATCTCAGCACTGTGGGGAGGCTGAGGTGGGAGGATCGCGTGAGGCCAAGAATTCAAGACAGCCCTGGTGACGCTGCAAGACCCTGTCTCTACAAAAAATTAAAAATTACTCAGGCATGGTGGTGCCTGCCTGTGGTCACAGCTACTGGCGAGGCTGAGGCAAGAGGATCACTTGAGCCTGGGAATTTGAGGCTGCAGTGAGCTATAACTGTACCACTGCGTTCCGGCCTGGGTGACAGAGTGCAAACTTGTCTAAAAAGAGAGAGAGGGGAAGATTCTATGCTGCTGACTTTGAAGATGTTGGATGGGGAGCCAATGAGTGTAGGGAGCATCTAGAAGCTTGGAAGAGGCAAGGAAATGGACTCTCCTTGGATCTCCAAGAGGAATGCAGCCCTGGAATTATTTTAGACTCTAACCCCCCAAACTCTAAGACAAGAAATTTGTGTTCTTTTAAGCCATTAAATTTGTGGTAACTTGTTACCTTGACAATGGAAAAATGATACAAAGGGAATACAAGGAGATGTTCTGGTGAGCTGGAAGCTTGCCCAGCTGGGAGAAATCTAACAGAAATTTACTTGGGACCAGTAACAAGGATAGGGAAAGGAAAAGGCTAGAAATCAACAAATGGGCAGATAAAAAGGGTCAGAGAATATAGAAATGGGCAGATTCCCAAGAACTGAAGAGAATAGATATATTAGTTTGCTGGGGCTGCCATAATAAAATAGCACACACAAGGGTGGCTTAGACCATGGAAATTTATTTGCTCGGCCAGACATGGTGGCTCATGCTTGTAATCCCAGCACTTTGGCCAAGTGGGTGGATCACCTGAGGTCGGGAGTTCGAGACCAGCCTTGCCAACATGGCAAAACTTCATCTCTACTAAAAAAACAAAAATTAGCAGGAAGTAGTGGCACACACCTGTAATGTCAGCTACTAGGGAGGCTGAGGCAGGAGAATTGCCTGAACCTGGGAGGCGTAGGCTGCAGTGAG